CTCTACCCTTGCTCCTCCGTCTTCAGCCATTACGGCGTCGCTGTCCTTCAATCTAGACTCTGGTGCGTCAGCTTGATTCTTCCATGACCACGCCGCCCTCACGCCGCTTGCTGCGCCTGCCGCTGTCGCCCTTGCAGACCCCTCCTCTGGTCCTGTAGTTGCTCGCAGCTACACTACCCTTCCCTGTCCGGCGGTTCCCTCGGGTTCCTTTACAGGCCTGCACATCCCTTCGTTCTCCACGAACTTAGTTGGTGTCGGCTGTCTTCAGGACCTCGGCGTCACCACTACGTTCCCTAGTTATGAGCGGTACGTGGTCTGTTCCGAGGCCAACTCAGGTACCCCCCTTGCGACGTTCCCCCGGGACCCTTTGTCTGGCCTGTTTACGCTGGACACTACTCCCCCCCTGGTGGGCCAGTTCTCCTCCGGTTCTGCGTCCACCCAGGAAGCTGCGGCCTGCTCGCGTCGGTCACTCACTCACCCATCACTGCTGTGGCACCACTGCCTAGGTCACCCCGCGCTCCCCCACCTGCGTCACATGTCACAGCACGGTCTAGTCCTCGGCCTCCCTGCGTTGCTCCCAGCTCTCCCTCCCTCGCCTGCACCGTCGTGCACGCCCTGCGTCGAGGGCCGGCTGCGCCGTGCTCCTCACTCCTCCTCACTTCGCCCTGCCACTGCACTCCTTCACACCCTGCACTTGGACGTCTGGGGCCCAGCCCCTGTCCCTGGACCGCGTCGCGAGCGCTACTTTCTGGTGCTCGTTGACGACTTTACGCGCTACACCATTGTGTTTCCCCTGGAGTGGAAGGCCGACGTGCCTGACGTTCTTATCCCATGGCTCGTCACTGCGCACCTCCACCGCGGTCTTCACTCCGACCGTGGCGGCGAGTTCGCCTCTGGTCGGCTGGGTCAGTTCAGTCGTGCGGAGGGTATCACCGCACCCAGACATACACCCTAGCAGACTCTCCGTAGCAGAATGGGGTCGCTGAGCGACACATCGATTTGGTCATGGAGGTGGCTCGTACCTCCATGATCCATGCCGGTGCACCCCATTTTCTGTGGCCGTTTGCCGTTCGCTACGCCGCTCACCAGCTTAACCTCTGGCCTCGCTCTCTGCGGCCGCAGGTTTCACCGACCCTTCTTTGGACCGGGTTCCCTGGTGACGCGTCTGCGTTCCACGTCTGGGGCTGCCTCGCTCACGTTCGTGCCTCCTCCGGTGGCTCCTCCGGCGCCCCGTCTACAACTTGTGACAGGCGCCCCGTGAGTGGCACGACACGTTGCGTGCCACGCTAGCTGACCTGCACTTCTTTCCGTCCTCTGCTGACCCTTCGCTCTTTGTTCGTGCTGGCCAGACTCCGTTCTACATCATGGTCTACGTAGACGACCTGGTCTTTCGTACAGCAGACAGAGCCGCGCTGGACTCCGTGAAGGCTGAGCTGCTGAGGCGACACACCTGCATTGATCTCGGAGAGCTGCGCCGCTACTTTGGCCTGCAGATCTCCTGGGGCAGAGCAGCGTGCACCATCACTCTAACAGAGTCACACTTGGTGCGCTAGGTCCTTCAGAGGTTCGGTCTTCAGTTCTCCTCCGCACAGCCCACACCTCTACCGGTAGACCACAGGCTCTCAGCTCCAGTTCCCGAGGAGTCAATAGAGCCCAGTGGTCCTTACGCAGAGCTGGTGGGTTGCCTCATGTACCTAATGACTTGCACTCGCCCAGATCTCGCATACCCTCTCAGCATATTGGCCAGCTTTGTGGCCACAGGCAGACACCGACCACAGCACTGGTCGGCCGCTAAGAGGGTTTTTCGTTACCTTGCAAGTACATCGGGCATGGGGCTAGTGCTGGGAGGATGCAGGCCAGTGGTCCTTACTGGGCACACAGACGCTTCATGGGCAGACGACACTGAGACATTCCAGTCCTTCTAGGGCTACTGCTTCAGCCTTGGTTCTGGTGCCATCTCGTGGAGGTCCACTCGCTCCTCGTCTGTTGCTCGGTCTAGCTGTGAGGTTGAGATCTACGCCTGTGCCATGGCAGCACAGGAGCTCCGCAGGCTGACCTTCTTGCTTGCCGACTTAGGTGAGCAGCCTAGCTCTGCCCCGGTTCTGTACGCTGACGACAGAGCCATGATCCTCTTGTGTCAGGAGCCTCAACTTGAGGGCAGAGCGAAGCACATCCAGCTGCGGTACTTCCTCCTGCGCGAACTTCAGCACACACATGCAAATTTCAGTGATGGCGAGGTTGGAAGGCTGCTCAGCGAAATCCAACCTCCAATGCAAGAAATTGGAGGGCCCCGTCGGTTGTCGTGGCATGCTCCACATCTTCTGGAAGGTCGGCATACAGGTAGTCGAGGAATTTGTTGAAAAGGTTTTCCCTCTCATGCTGCAAACCCACATCAAGAGTTGAAGTTAAAAAAAAAAAAAAAAAAAGGCTCCAAGGAACAGAATCGACTGGTACTAGAAATACTTACAGGGTCTGGACGATCCTCTAGTTAACTTCGTGGATGATGCGTTGTGGGGGGCCGAATATGAGGCGTGCGAGGATATGGAACGGTCTGCAGGGTTTCAAACGGTACATCATGTTAGAAACAACGTCTTGTTCTCAACCAAGTCAGCAACTGTTTGTACACCCACCTCAGCGTGTTAAGCTGGCCTTGGAGCCGGGCTGTTTGCAACAAGGCTGTTGCACCCCTCGGCCAGTCCAGCCGCCGGGTAAACGTGTAGCGCATAGCGATAGTCAAGGCTATGAATTGCCTTGACGGTCGCTGGACCCAGTTGGTGCCGTCCACACGAGGCGGTCCGTGTCCCAGAACCCCGCCCAGCAGCCAATGCCTGACATGGGCGATAGCTTGCCTCAATGCCGCATGCGGTCCATGCAGGATGTACAAGAGGCGATGCCGGACCTGTTCAAACATCGGCCTCATGTCGGTGACTTCGGTCATGAGACGCAGCTCCTCATCCAGCAGCACAATGATGGCCGCTATGCGCTCAGCGACCCTGTTAGCCGTCCTCTCCGAGGGGAATCTGTCCCATGCCTCATGTGCTGCCCTTCAGTCCCTCACCTCTCGCCGAACTACTGCAGCTCGTGCACCCCCCCTCTCGTTCGTTCCTGCCTCCGCCCCCCCCCCTGCTCGCCCCTGCCGACTGCTCCTGCTGCTGCTGCTGCTCCCCCCCCTGCTGCTGCTGCTGCTCCCCCCCCTGCTGCTACTCCCCCCCATGCTGCTGCTCCCCCCCCTGCTGCTCCTGCCAGCCCCCCCTCCTCAGCTTCAACCTGACGGGTCCAAACAGTCCCTTCCTCGAACGTGTGCATCATACCATGCCCAGTTGGGTACACTAATGGGTCAGGGGGGTCCCAAGCCACTGCACCTCTCTCCCGTCGGGCGATCTGCTCGTAAGCATCGTCATCGGCGTCGACGCCCTCTCTATGGTAGAGATGGGTGAGACGGGCATCTACGGCCACCTGTCCTAGACGGTATGCCTCCGCTGCTGTCCCCGGCGCCCCAACCGCAAGGAAAGTAAGAAACATGGCCCACCTGTTAGCAACCCACGTGTTCGTCCTCACTGCTATCACCTGAACAGCCTGTTCCTCTCGCATTCCCGAGGGGGGCTCGATGTGGTACTCCCATGGCTCCCCGGGATACGCAGTCCCCGCCCTCTCCCTCTCCACCGCTGCCCGTACTGCCACGTACCGCACAACGTTATGGCGCGTGTCGTACACGGTACGCCCTCCTGTAAACCACCCCTCCAGCTCCTAGTGCCGTGCCGCTTCTGCCGCCGCCCTCTGCACCCTCAGCGCCCTCCAAAACGTCTCCACCTCGTCCTCCCTCTCGATGTAAGCATGACCCATTACGCGCCACACGCAGTCTAGAGCGACCATGTGGCGCAGTGCCGGGTCAAAGCCGTCATCACCGCCACCACGGTACAGGCCACGTGCCGCTGCTGCGTCGAGTCCGGTCAGGGGGAAGATGGGAGGTGGCTCCAAGTATGGATCGGGGATGCCCTGGTGCACCACTAGATGTCTCGCGAGCTCCGGCCACGTGCGGAAGTGCTGCACGTGCGGCATGTCACGCCGTAGCTCTAGAGTAGTGTGGGGAATATGCATCCCCGCGACACACCACCAGTGGTCACCTGCCTGGGGATCCTCGCACTCCAAGCGGGCACGGCACATGGCACCTGGGAGTGCAAAGTACCCAACCTCGGGGAGGTGGCGGGTTGGCGGCAGCCTGGCGGGTGGGTCGGGCTCCCGGAAGGGATCCAAGCCATACACATAAGCCCGCCCCCTGTCCTCCCCCATGTCAGGGATGGGGCGCCCACCCCCCCGAAAGACCGCAGCCATTGCTCTCTGGTGGGCCGGATCTCTCCTCAACACAACCCGTGCCCTCTCCCTCCTCGGTCCAATGGGGCCTTCTGGGTCATGGCCAAGCATGGCCACGCGCACTTCCGTCCTGCCGGGCACAAACAGCATCGGGAATCGCGAACCATGACCTGGTACCGACGGTGGGTGGCCTCCACGAACCCCATGCGGGTCTCCCGGGTCGCATACATGTCAAGTATTGCGCCCCGGGCGGCACCCAGGAGCCCACGGTGTATGGTGTCATACTCCTGGGCAGCAGTGGCGACCACGCGGCTGGATGTGCGGCGAGGAGCACGAGACGGGCGTGGGGCAGTAGGGTCTCGCAGGTTGAGGGGGGGCATGATCCACGTCCCGGGCTCCATCTCCGGACGGTCCAGAAGGAATGGGAACCCGGGCATGTATACATTCCCCCGGTCGTCCCTACGAGCGGCTCCAGGAGTGGTAGCGGCTGCCCAAGCATATGTACGGGGAGGGACAACAACGTTCCGACCCAGCTGCCGCCTCCAGTGGATCTCCTGCCCAGGGTGCCAGTTGTGGTTCTGCAGCTGAGGGGTCCACCTGACAGTGTCGATGTCAGGCGGCGCGTGTCCCACCTCTGCATGGGTCAAGGGGAGAGGGGGGGTCTCGGCGGTCCTGCGGCGCACATTCCTCGTGTTTGGACGCCGACGTTCCTCCACCTCCTCACTGTCGCCACCCACTGCCGATCCACTCCTGCCCCGCCTGTGCCCCCCCCCCCTCTCCCAAGGCCCCCCCCCGGCGTCGTCTACGGCCATCCGCCGGTTTCTCTGTCGCCCTCGACTCCCTCGGTCGCTTTTCTCCTCTGGCCCGGCCGTCACGAGCTTGTTTCCGCCCCCTTCCCCCTTGTTGTTCCTCCGTGTGTTGCCCAACCCCCTCTTCCTCCTCCTCCTCCTCCTCCTCCTCCTCCTCCTCCTCCTCCTCCTCCTCCTCCTCCTCCTCCTCCTCCTCCTCCTCCTCTTCCTCCTCCTCCTCCTCCGCCTCCTTCCCACCCCCCTCCTCCTCGTCTTCGTCGTCGTCCTTCTCCTCCTCCTCCTCCTCCTCCTCCTCCTCCTCCTCCTCCTCCTCCTCCTCCTCCTCCTCCTCCTCCTCCTCCTCCTCCTCCTCCTCCTCCTCCTCCTCCTCCTCCTCCTCCTCCTCCTCCTCCTCCTCCTCTTCCTCCTCCTCCTCCTCCTCCTCTTCGGGCTCTGCTGATGCGGGCACAGCTACCGCGGGCGCTGCTGCTTCGGGCTCTGCTGCTGGGGTCGCTGCCGCTGCAAGGACTGCTGCTGCTGCTGGATCTGCTCCTGCGGGGGCTGCTGCGGGCACGGCTGTTGCGGGGGCTGCTGCTGGGGGCACAGCTCCCCCGGGCGCTGCTGCTTCGGGCTCTGCTGCTGCGGGCACAGCTCCCGCGGGCCCTGCTGCTTCGGGCTCTGCTGCTGCGGTCGCTGCCGCTGCAAGGACTGCTGCTGCTGCTGGATCCGCTGCTGCGGGGGCTGCTGCGGGCACGGCTGTTGCGGGGGCTGCTGCTGGGGCTGCTGCGGGGGCTGCTGTTGCGGGGGCTGCTGTGGGCACGGCTGTTGCGGGGGCTGCTGCTGGGGCTGCTGCGGGGGCTGCTGTTGCGGGGGCTGCTGCTGCTGTCACTACAGGTTCGGACGCTGCTGCTGCGGGCGCAGCTGCTGCGGGCGCCACTGCTGCGGGCGCTTCTGCTGCGGGCGCTGCTGCTGCGGGCGCTGCTGCTGCGGGCTCTGCCGCTGCGGGCGCAGCCGCTGCGGGGACCGCTGCGACGGGACCCGCTGCTGCAGCGGGTTCCGCTGCCTCGGGCGGTGCTGCTGCGGGTGCTGCCGCTGCGGGTACCGCTGCGCCGGGTACAGCTGCTGCTGGCACTGCTGCTGCTGCTGGCACTGGAACTCCTCTGTGGCAACCCCCCCTGTTACCCTCAGCCTGCCATTCTCGCGTGCTCTGCTCGACTCTTTGCGTAGCGTCCTGGGAAAGCAGAGCAATGACCTCCCTGCGGCCTTGCCCCGCAGCACCCATCAGGATCTGATCGGCGGTCAGGTCGTCAAGGATGCTGCACGTGCGCCCCACAGAGCGTGTCACCCTCATATGCAACGGCGTCTCTCCAGAGGGTGGCACATGGAGGATACAAGGTTGGAATCAGTACAGCTAGACTGACCGGGCAGGCAAAATAGCACTGCTAAGCTTACCTGTCCTTTATGACGCGGCCGTGGAGCGCCTCCTGCCCCGGCGAGTGTTGCCACGAGAAAAAAATCCACGACGCGAAAGCGCGTCGCGGAGCCATGAGGAGTGGCGGACGGATCGGCAGGAAGATAAGGACCGAAATTTAGCCTAGGCGGCAGCGCGATTGCGGGAAACTAGTGTGATTTGCAGGTACTGATGGTTTCTCTGAGATTCGCTAAGTCATATGGATTTGACGCGCGAACAAGTTCAGCGAACAGTCGATCACGAAGCCTGCTGGCGGGAGCGCCGGCTCAATGGAGGAGCCAAGGCTGGCGGTTCAGCTTTACTTGGCTGTAGGAGGGGCCAGGGAGGGCTGCGACTGGCGGAGCTGCGCCCGGCGGAAGCGCGGGGCGAGCGGGCACGGGACGGGCGGGCGCGGGGCCAGCAGGCGGAGGTCTGGCGGGTGCCGGGCCAGCAGGCGTGGGGGTGGCAGGTGCAGGGCCAGCAGGTGCAGGGGCCAACGGGCCCAAGGCTGGTGAGCGGGGGGGGGGGGGGTGGTCCAGCAGGCGCGGGACCAGCGAGCACTGGGCTGGCGGCAGGTGGCTGGTGAACGCAGGGCCAGCGGGCGCGGGGCTGGCGAAAACGGGGCCAGCGGGTGCAGGGCTGGCAGGCGCGGGGCTGGCAGGCGCAGGGCTGGCGAGATCGGGGCCAGCGAGCGCAGGCGGGCGGGCACTAGGCCAGCAGTCGCGGGACCAGCGGCGAGTGGGTGCGGGGCCAGCAGTCACGGGGCCGGCGGGTGTGAGACTGGCGAGCGCGAGGCCGGTGAAGGCGGGGCCAGTGGGTGCGGGGCCAGCAAGCGCGGGGCTGGCAAATACGGGGCCAGCGTGCGCAAGGCAGGCAGGCTGGCGGCTATGGGCTACGGAACGGCGGCCAGCAGGCTACGGGCCGCTGGCGGCTACGGGCGGCAGTGACAGGGGGCGGGCAGCTGGCAGCTACAGGGCGGCCAGCGGGCTGGCGGCGACGGTTCGCTGGCGGCTACAGGGGGCCAGCGTACGGGCGGCTACGGGCGACTGTCGGCTACAGGCGGCCAGCGATGACAGGCGGTCAGCAGCTACGGGCGGCTGACGGCTACGGGCAACGGGCGGCTAGGAACGGGCGGCGTGCTACGGGCGGTTCGGGCTAGGACTAGGGGCGGAAGCGCAGGTGGGCGGGATCCTACCTACCGTGATACCATCTAAGCGTAAAAAAAGTTGACTAGAATGTCGATAGAGGGTGATTTTGTCTTAGTGGTTGTACTTGTGATAAAATCGTACTCGAGCATTTCTGTAAGTAGTCTCGATAGATATTGTCGAGTTACACTGTAGTTAGCATCCATAGAATGACGTCAGCAAATAGCGCTCGTCTGGATGGTTACGCAGCAAGCCGTTTTAGTCACGCGAATAGTCGCGCTCTTTTCAGTAGCGGTTAGAGCGCATAGCGCAAATAGCTCGAACAGGTACCTACATCACCGAATAGGTACTTCTAGCAGATATAAAAAAGTAGCTTGTGCAACTTCAATTGTTGTTCTTGAGTAAATTCTGGTCAACACTTCACAAGTTCTAAAACTTTCGCTGTCTTACTAGTCTACCATTCCAGCAAAGATCCTTGGTTAAGTCTTGAAGTATCGCAAGGCTGTAACACTGACTCTGGTGTTACAACTTGTTAATACTCGCTGTTACTGGAGGTACTTCCAGTATTACTTTCTACTTCAAGTACTTGTGTCTGCAGATTCTATACTTAGAGAGTACTGAAAGAATTTGAAAGGTGGTGCAGGAGACTAAGATTTCGCACCTATCTAGCCTATAGCAACATACAGCGACGGAAAGTATTGCCCGGATAATTGCCTTAAAACATTTCTCGTACTGGTTTGGTGCCTTCTTTGATTAGTTACGAATCAAATTTCGGGGTTGGATGTAAAGTAGTACTGTACTGTATGTGACGGATGCTGGTTTCAGTTTTATAGGGGCCGCTTTTTTACCGAGGACGAGATTTCGTCCGCGTGGGTGCATCCGGACAGTTTAGGCCAAGCAGCGTAGTAGATCTATTTCCTAACCTCGCTATTTCTTCTTACTTGCCCTCGCGACTATCGAGTAGTCAGGAGATAGGCTAGGACCACTGCGATGATTAGGCCGTCATGAAACAGTTAGATGAGGCGCTCTACGCATAGATCATTCCCTTGTTGCGGAGGGGGTAGAGCAATCGTTGAATCGCTAAACAGCTAGCCATAGGGAAGAGTTCGGCCAATCAAGGCGATTGTAGAGTCTAGCCGCGAGGACGTGCGTCCTACGATGCCCTCAGCCGGTCGCCCTCGCTTAGTGACAGAGAGAGTTCGCCGCGGCATAGTTCGGTCGATTACCCTCGAGGAGGCAGAAATCTCCGCTCACGTGGCGAAAATCGTTGAGAAGCAGCACGGCATCACGTTGCATCCTAAGACATTGCGTAACGCTTTGAATGGGAGCCGACTTGTCGCAATCAAGCATCCCAAGAAACCGCGACACTCTCGGAAAAACATACGCGATAGGCTGGAATGGGCGCGTGCCCACGCAGACTGGACGGTTGACGACTAGAAGCGAGTTATCTGTGCGGATGAGACCAAGATCGGTCGTCTTGCATCCGACTGACTCTCATACGCCTACGTTCTCGAAGGGACTGCCCTCCAAAGACACCACATCAAGCAGACCGTCAAACACGGGGGCGGTTGCTTGATAATTTACGACTGCATGTCGTAAAAGGGAGCGGGCTTCATGAGCAAAACATATGGTAGGGTGGACGGACTGCTCTCGCTGAGTATACTGCAGGACGATCTCAACAGTACGATTGAGCTTTACCACCTTACACCCTCAAAAACTATCTTCCAGCACGACAACGACCCGAAGCACAAGTCGCGTATCGTACAGGAGTGGCTTTGAGAGTAAGATTCAGGGGTGCTAGAGTGGCCGTCTTCCTCACCCGACCTCAACCCAATGGAGCATTTATGGGCTCATCTCAAGAGGCAGCTGGCCAAGCCTTATAAGCCTCCCACTGGTATGCTGGACCTTTAGGAGCGGATGCAGGAGAAATGGGAGAAGATCCCGGCGGATGTGTGCACCCACCTGGTGGAAAGCATGCCCAGGAGGGTGAGGGCGGTGTCTAAGGCGAAAGGGCGGTGGATTAGGTACTAGTTTGGGGTTGATGTAACTTGCTGCTTGCGCCTGGCAATAATTGTCCACATGTACCAAGATTGTTATTTTCTAGTATTTTTTGTAAACATCATTATACTTGTGTGATGTACGGCATGGGCGTGAAGCCTTACCCCAACCTACATACACTAGGCACACCAGAAGATTAAGTCTTAATGTCCATGACCCCCTAAAATGGCAAAATTCCTCTAAGTCACAAACATGTGGACAATACTTTCCGTCGCTGTATATATATTATATTTTTTTAACACACGCAGTGTTTTTCAAAAATTGTGTATTGTGAAAGCGAAGCTGATTGTACTGAAGCGTTGGGCATCGTCAAAGCGCGCTACTCGCCCTTCTCCAACTACATATACGTGGGTTGGAGCTCATTTATCTCCACCCACGTCTCTCATTTTTCAAACGGCTTAGTCAACTTTCCCGCTCTAGCTTTTCTCCCGTTCAAGCTGGCTAAGACTAGAACTTTGCCTCGCGGCGAGTCTCCCTCGACTCTTCTTTCCGATATTTTTAAGTTTCACCGATCCGTCATGGCTCCGACTACGAATAATCGCGGCGATTCCAACGTCGTCACCGGCCACCCCAATTCCGAGTCTACTTGCCAAGCCCCGGAAATCGCGGGCGACTGGCGCAACAAGCGTCGGGTAGATGAAGGGGTGGCTGCCCCAACTGGGGTTGACGTTCTGCTGGGAGGGGGCGAGGTCAACAATCAGCCTGCTAACGCGCCCCCGCCCCCTTCCGAGCCACACGCGCAAGTGGCTGAGCAAAGCCAGCCACTCGCGCCTGACGCCGAGCAGCAGCACGAGCCAGCCCCGCAAGTGGCGGGTCCTGCTCACCAGCGCAAAAGGGGCGCGCGGCTGCCTCGTCTGACGTGCCGCCCACCCCGACATTGACCCCGTTGTTGACCCCTGCGCAGGTCAACGCGCTGTTGACGCTGTTACAGCAGCAGGCGACGAGTGTTACGGCCGCCGAAACTGCTCAACCTGCTGCTTCTGAATCTGCTAAAAAAGAACCTGCAAAAACAGAAAAGGCCACACGCGGAACCAAGACGCCACGCCTCGCCAAAGACGCCGTCGCCAGCATCCCGCCTGACCTGGCGGCCGACAACGACAGTGACGACTCCGACAACGACGCCGGTGAGGCCCCCGGCATTGCTGCAAATTCAATTCCCATGGAGCACCTCCCACCACTCCCGACCACTAACACCACCCTCTCGGCGGCGTCCTTCCTCAACGCGGCCGTGCGCAAGCAAGCGGAAGTCCTGGAGGACCTTCGGGCACACCTGAAGCACGCCGAGTTCAAGATGCAGCACGGCGACGCGCCGGGCGGCCTCGAATTCCTCGCCGACGCGCTCGCCCTCATATCGCGACGCTTCGAAGTTCTCCAAGTCGAAGACGCCTCCGACTTCCGCACGGCCAAGCGTTTCAAGCTGTACCAGCAGAAGAGTCTGCTTACCTCAAGGCCTTTCAAACAGGCTGTCGCTGACGTGGCTGCAATGGACCGCGCCGAGGGCGGGTTTGCTCGTGGCAATCGCGGAGGCGGCCGCATGCCCATGCCATTCGTGCCAAAGCGTGGTCTGCCGCCTACGGGAGAATTCCGTGGCTTCCGAGGCACTTGCTTCCGCTGTGGCCAGCCGGGGCATGTGGCCAGCGGCTGCCCGGCGATTGGGCATGGTGGCCAAGGGCCCGCACCAGTGGTGTAGGGGTCGGGCCATGGGCGCTTGCGCAAGTGGCGCAAGGCGCAAGGCACCCGGTGTGTGCGTAGGCCATTGGGCCCACCCCTTAGGGGCACGGGTGGTAGAGGGCCAGCCCTAGTGTAGGCCAATTGAAGGCCCTAAGTTCAGAGCAAGGGAAGGGGAACATACCCCCTCGGTCCCAAATGATAGCCCGACCTTGCAAGGCGGACTTTGCATGCCTAGGAGCATGGTTGAGTAGAGATGAAGCTTGGTTAAAATAAGGAGCCGCGGTCCTCCGTTTTTTTCAGGTCTTGGTCCCTAAATATAACCAGAGAAATGGGGAAGCAGCACCAAAAGAGGTGCAGAAAAAAAAAACACAAAAAAAACAAAGGATCGAGCATGAAACGGGGAAGCATAGTGGATGGCTCAACCCTCACTACAGGTCACGCAGCACCCCCGGCCAGAGAAGGAAGGCCATCAGGAACACCAGTGGCCCTCCACTTACCCTCACATAGTTGCTCATCGATTGGACATGCAAAAAAAAAAAAAAAAAAAAAAAAAAAAAAAACAGAATTCAAGCATTATGCGAGCCTCACGAGGCGCCTACCCTCCAACCCGGTGTGCTACACCCTGGACCCCAAGCATTACCCCTATGTGGGGATACACGAACAGCCACACCAATCTCATCTAGCAGCTTGGCATTGGGGAAAAAAAAAAAAAAAAAAAAAAAAAAAAAAAAAAAAAAGTCACAGAAGAATGCGCGCACGCACACGGTATGGCCCACGAACGGGAACAGCAACAAAAACACTGCACGCATGCCACACAAGCACGCAAGAGGTGACTAGAGGAAAGACAGGAAAAAAGCACGGGCGTTGAGTCTCAAAACCCCAGAAATGATAACGCAAGCAAAAGAGGCAATAGAGGGTAACATGCGTTCGCGAGTAGAAGCGCGAGTGAAGGCACAAGTTGTGGGAATATGAGGGCAAAAAAAAGGGAAGGACAATAAGCGGAAACTCATGCACAAACGTTGGGGCGCAGGTTCGAACGCAAGCTTGGCATGCGCGGACGCGCAAACCGACACACACACGCAGGTCATGCCGCTCAGACTCGCTCAAAGCGCTGGCAACCACCGACCTAAGCATCTTGCTTGCATGTGGCACCTCTGTCCTGCACGCCCTCCTTAACCACTAGGCTTCACACTCCCCCCCCCCCACGCTCTAGGTTTCCGGCAGGCCTCAGCCCTGCAGATGAACTTAAGGATTCGTCCCTTGCTTCTCCTTGCATGACGTCACTCCCACAGGCACCCGACTTCGCGAATGCGCACACAACAGTGACCCCTACGAATACGCGGTTACTGACAAGATGGTCACCCAAATGTGTGGCCGCCTACGTACCACGTTCGCTTGGTGGAGCTCGTGGTGCACTAGCAGTTTCATACTCTCAATCATTGCCAAAGGATACTGGATGCCATGGAAACTCGGGCCGACGCCGGCCTTTCACGATCGCAACCATGCAGGCGCACGCATCCACGAAGCATTCACGCGTACGACCATCCTTGAACTCACCGAGACCGGCGCGCATACGCCTTCCGATCCTTGCCGTTCGGCCTCGCCACAGCACCATTCGTCTTCACGCAGCTCATCAAGCAATTAGCTCGGCGATGGCAGGAGCAGGGGGTCCGCGTGATACCCTACGTTGACGATATCCTCTTCCTGTGCCCGACCCAGGCACACGCTCAAGCCACGTGCCAACGGGTCGTTATCGATCTCAAGGCTGCCGGGCTCTTACTCAATTCAAAAAAGTCAAAGCTGATACCAACACAGCACCTTCGGTTCCTTGGCGTAGAGCTCGACACACAGGCCGGCCGGTTCTCCATCGGCGAGAGGCGGCGAGCCACACTCAATTCCACCCTCCATGCTCTACTGCGCGCAAGCTCAGCCCAGCAGAAAGTCCCAGTCTGGCAACTGGCCCGGGTTACAGGCATGCTGGCATCGATGGCTGTCGCATTCAGCACCACTACCCGAGCGTTCAGCCACGCCATGCTAGAAACAATCAACGACGCGCCGACATGGACTTGCATGGTCCTCCTCTCCCCACCCGCCATCGAAGAGCTGAGATTCTGGATCCAAGAGTTCGACCGTTTCAACAGTGCCCCGTTCCATGTGCGGCACAGCTACGATGTAGTCATCCACGTAGACGCAAGTGCCCACAGCTGGGGTGCCACGCTGAACACATTCCCTGGAGCCGCGACAGAGGCCAGCGCGGCAACGCCCGAAGCCCTTCATCCAACCTCCAGCACACAAAGAGAGCTCGCCGGCGTGCTGTGGGCGCTACAGACATATGCGCCTAGAATCCGGAACAAACACGTGCTAGTGCGGGTGGACAACCAGAGCGTGTTCTTCATCCTTCGCAAAGGAGGTTCCCGAAGTCCCGACCTCACCACCATGTGCAAAGGCATCATCCAAAAATGCATGGAGTTCGAGATTCGGCTAATCATCGAATGGATCCCACGCGATCTGAATGGTCGCGCAGACGAGCTCTCCAAGCTAGTCGACCACGACGACTACTAATTGAAGCTCC